AGTTGCGGGGCAGCGCCGGCCGAGGACTTGTCCAAGGTGTCGGACGAGGAGCTGCTCAAGTGGAGCAAGGAGGAGCTGATCCGCAGCCTCCGCCGCGCCGAGGCCGAGAAGATGAGCGCGATGCTGGACCACAGCAACCTCATCCGCGAGGTGAACCGCCGCCTGCAGCTCCACCTCGGCGAGATCCGCGGCTTGAAGGTAGCGGGGTAGGGCAGGGTGGGACCCCTGAAGTTTCTGCCGTGTCTCCGCGTCCCCCGCCCATCCCACCGGGAACGGTCTCATCAGGTGGATGGTCTGGGAGCAGCCGTTACCAAGAATCGCGTGAAAAGTGAACAAGGACTGGAGCGAATAGCGTTTGATCCCGCTTAAAAAGCGAGTGTCCGGTTAAGAGATGGCCAACTCTTCAGCAGGCTGTGGAGCGCAGCTGTCGTGTGCTCTGCCCCGGTGTGCTTTGGGTTGATGAAAACACTTAAGTCTTGTCAGTTTTGTGTTAGACTTCATTGGGTTTTAGTGAGGTTAAATGATCCTGTCTGAAGTACACGTGAAAGAACAGTGTGCAGAGCTGTGGACATTCAAAAGGTTTTGTGTAGCTTACGCTGTTTTCTGTCACTATTTTAAGATGACTTACTCATCTGTCCGGCAGTCTGGTAGGCTGCTGGAGAGAGCTGGTCATTTCCAGGATGCAGTGCAGCGTATGGCAGGTGATGGCAAACCCTTGGGCTCGGTTTCGGGATGATCAGAACCAATCCCTAGTTTATTGTCTGAAAAAGACGTCTGATAATGCATCTCTGATCAAACCATTTTTGATTGCCTGCTTCTGCAGACTACAGTGAGAGGCAGACCAAGTCTGTAATGACTTATCCCTTCTTAATGCAACTCTTTTGTTGGATGAGAAGCATAGTCCCTAATGTTTCCTTCCCAATTCCGAGGATTGGGAAGATAGTGTGACGACTTACAGATAATCACCCTGATGTAGCATGTACGCGTGTATTATAGACCTAGAAAGTTATCTTAAAGTAGGCATGACTACAAAACATTTTCTGTCTTGATGCTTTGAGAAAGGACATTGTTTTTAGGAAATTCCTTCGGTGAGGTGAGGTTGGAGGGAAGGAGAGGAGAGACAGAGATGCAGTGTGGGCTTTTGAATTATTACGTGAGAGTACATTAGAAGAGAGTTCTTGACCTGCAGGGTGGCTTTAAACAACTAAATTATTGAGAAAGTGTCTTTGATAATAGTGTGGCATAGAATAAACAGCATGTGGGGGAAGACTGTGCCTGTCTCCCAAGTTTTCCTGTTCTGCAAAGTATGAGTGTGTGTGTGTCCCCTTCCTCTTTTTGACAATATATGGTGTCTAGGGGTAAAAAGGACCCATCAGTGATAGTACTTTGGTAAAAATAAAGCTTACATTTTAAATGTAAGTTAAATTATAACAATAGTATCTTTCTCCCAGTTATGTGCAAAGGTATTGCGACATCATACGGATTTATACATCATCCAGATAAGTAACAAAACACACCAAGATGTGTAGGAAGGAGTGACAAATTCCTCTCTCAATCCTGAACTCCTTAAGTGATGTTTAACTTCTGCCTTTTGTTGGGATGCCTCAGCTGGAACTTTTAAAAGGAATTTGGGAGAACGAGGTTTTGAGCCCTGTGTTGGTGTCTGGACATCTCCCTCCTTTGTCCTGTGTGAAACAACTGGTCCATGAGTAACAATGACCAGCCGTGCCTGGTTTTGGTGGATGGGTGCCTCCTACTGCTGACTGTTGAATTGTGGGCTTCCACTCAAACTTTTTTATTCCACCATGGGGTCATTTTAAATCTCTCTCACCAGCACAGATTTTTAAGGATACCTTGTGGCCTCATTGAGACTCCTTTGTCAAATGAGACTCCTTTGTCAAATATGGGTTGAAACTGGTCAAGTTCAAAGTTATTTTGAGGCAAAGATCAAACAAACGCATGGATGCATGCATACAAATCCCGTGGAGTTACAAAAGCTTCCTTTTCTTAAGAAACAGTGCTAAAATGGTCTTTCCATAAGGCTAAATTTTTAACAATTGTGGCTAATCTCTACTTCTGATACTGTACATAAGAAGGAATGAGTATTTAGATGGGAGAAAGATAAATATGGTCGCAAGCCAGTTTAGTAAAACGAGGGGGATAAAATACTGAAAATGTTTTCTTTGGCATATTATTCTGCTGTAGTAATAGCTTAAACATTTTTGCTTCAGACTGTTCCTCACTTAAAGAAGGGTATGGAATCATGTACTTCATCTTGTTAGGAGTGAAAAATCTATTAAAGCAGATTATTTAATTTCAGAGTGGTTGGAGCAATTCTGATTAAGTGATGACTGACAAGGTTCTTTTATGTGAATCTGAAACAAAATCAAACAAAACCCAAATATTTTAAATCTCTAAAAAGTTCATCTTTATATGTGAATATACTTTAGGGAATAGAGAGTATAAATGTTAATAATTAGTTATTTAAGTGAGATTACAGTTTCTGATGTATCTCGCAGTTTTATTCAGCAATAACTCGCAGGTGAATATTTCTCAAGGAAGGGAGTGAGATCATCATGAGAGCGCTTATGATCTTTGCCCAGTTTGGGAGCTAAATTATTCCGATGTTTAGCATGAAAATTAAGCACCTGAAACTTTTATGCTGTATCAGAAGTTAGTCTTTGAACCCTTCAAGATTAGCTCCACGTTATGGTCACTTTTTACTGGACAGCAGCTTTGTTTGAAGCATGATGCTGTTATAATATGCCAGATCTACACACGCAATTATTTATGCCTCACTTGAGTGCTTAGATGATGGGTTAATAGCAGTGCTGTTCGCTGGCTTGTATAACGGTAATGGTATAATGTTAATTCTTTTAGACACTTCTCTGTCATGATTGTCTTTCTTTTAAAGGATATCAACCAGAAGCTGCAAGAAGATAACCAAGAACTGAGAGACCTTTGCTGCTTTCTGGATGATGACAGGCAGAAGGGCAAGAAGGTGTCCCGTGAATGGCAGAGACTGGGCAGATACAGCGCTAGCGTTATGCACAAAGAGGTTGCCTTATACTTACAGAAGCTGAAAGAACTGGAAGTGAGACAAGAAGAAGTGGTTAAGGAAAACCTGGAGCTGAAAGAATTGTGTGTGTTGCTGGACGAGGAAAGGAGTGGTGGAGCAGGCAGCCGGAGCTCTATCGACAGCCAAATCAGCCTGTGCCAGTTAACCACGACGAGTACTTACATAAGAGATGTCGGTGATGGGAGTAGCACTTCTAGCACGGGAAGTACAGACAGTCCAGACCATCATAAACATCATCCAAGTACTAGTCCAGAACATCTTCAAAAAACTCGGGGTGAAGGAAGCCCTGAGCATCAGAAACACAGGAGTATCAGCCCAGAGCACCTCCAGAAGCCTAGGAGTTCTGGCAGTCCTGATCATCACCTGAAAGGACCAAGTCCGGAACATCACAAAACCATTGTCAAAGCACCTGAACAACAAAAGCACAGCAGCAGCAGTCCAGAAACTATCCCAAAGCATGTTTTGAGTAGTAGTCCTGAACACTTTCAAAAGCAGAGGCCTGGCAGTAGCCCTGAGCATCAAAAGCACAGCAGTGGCAGCCCAGATCATCTTCAAAAGCACACGCCGAGTGGAAGTACAGAACATCTCCACAAAGTGAGGGGTACGAGCCCTGAGCATCTCAAACAACACTATGGAGGGAGCCCAGAGCATCTCAAACATCTCAGCGGAGGCAGCAGAGAAGGTACCCTCAGGAGACAAGTAACAGATGACCTGTCACCTCACCACAGAAGTATATACAATGGAATGAATGGTGGGTCAATACACGTAGTGAAAACTCACTTTGAAAATTACTAAGGTAGTTTCAGTGCTATTTCAGCTATTTCTGGAAAAAGAATAATGTTTTATGTGAAATGAAGGGTAACAAGTCTGGTGTAAGCATTAGTCCTTTAGCAAGTGAATTAACCGGAATATACTTGTTTGTCCATCCAGTGGGTGTTGGGTGGATTAAAAAAGTAGAAGAAAAGTGCGTCTTGAGTGTTGGTGTAAGGTATCAAGAAGCAGCTCTTGGCCTTGATCCTGCTCTGTGGTTGGTAGATGTAAACTGTTTGTCCCTAGGTAGATTTCTGTTTACATCAGAGAGGAATTGCGTTATGCTTCTTCTCCTGCCTGTATTTGAGTCAGCAGAATGGAGGTGAACGTCTCCAATTTCATTTCCACGTTCCTACCCTACCCTACCCTGTCTGTAGCTTTAAAGATTTAAAAATTTCGTTTATTGTTGGAAGGCTTCTTATATCCTTTTCCATAAACTTTGGAAAAGACCCCAGATGAAGAGCTGGGCTCAATATAAATGAATCTGATAGCTCCTAAAGCGTTTCAAAGCCTTGAGTTTGCATGTGTTCAATTATAACAAATTAAAAATTAAGGAAGATCTTAAAATTGTTTTTTTTTGTGGTGTTATTGCTGCATTTTAGAAAGATACCCAATGAACATACCTAGCTTCTAAGAGCTGTGTATCCTCACTGATTGAAATTAATTACGTTTTTCTTAAGGTAGTCACAATTTTAGTATTGTGTTATTTTGAAAGACAAGCGGTTACAACAATATTGAAATGAATGAAATACGGCAAATGAAATTATTAAAAACAAAGTTCAAACATCCGACTATGCTGTAGAAAGAACTTTTTATAGGCTTACCAGAATTTCTATAGTCTGCTCCATTTTGTTTCTTCTATGTGCTTTGAGATGTTTTCATGAAGGGAATTAGCGTCACAGTTGAAAACCCATTTCTCAGACCTTTACACTTCGATTTGAAGTCAAGCACGGAAGAAAGTGAGGATTTTGCTTTAGTAAATTATCTTGGATGGCGTTCATGTGTTTCCATTTTTATAAGCAGCTGTGAGAAGTTGTGTTGACATCGGTGGAACTGACCACTTGTTGTTGGATCTGCTTGTGAGATGGAGGAAACAGCGAGCTCTGTGCCGGCTGCTGTCCTCATCATTTATCACATCGCTCTCTCACATCGGTCCATTTACCTATCGTGATTAACTTACAGAATGCCTTCAGTTAAGATAACCTGCTCTGTAGGGGTAAATCCAGATCACTTTTGGTGAAATGCATATACTTGACAGGGCTGACGAACCCCAAAGTGGTAAGTGTAGAGACTTCTCTTTTTAATGATTTTAAAATGATTAATAAGGTGAGTGTGTGACAACTGTGTGAAGATGTGTAATACATAAGTTTTATAAAAGTTGGTCTTGCAAAACTTCCATTAAATACTGTATTTCTTTCCCCATTCAGTTCTTTCTGTTTAAAATTGACGTGGCTCTAAGTAGCGTGAAGTATGGAACCAGACTTCCTAAAAGTGGCTTCTTACCTGCACTCATGATATTCATCAGTCCAGTCACTGGTTATGTAGAAAGGTGATCTAAGTTTTTAAGTATATATTTTTAAAACTCACGCACAGACAAAGATAGGGTTTTTCTGCTCCCAATGTGGTGGGCTTTCCGTGTTTTTTTTTTTGTTTGTTTGTTTTTGTCCAAATAGTCTTGTTAAGAGCTCGGTCATATTATTAACAGTGCGATGAAAGCAGTTGTTACTTTAAATCTCAGCTGACTGGCATCCTTTGTGCAGAGTATTTCAACTATCTACAATTTGGACTCGGGCCACAGGATGCTGGAGAGGGCAGCTGGTGATTTAGGAGTCTGTTTATTGACTTTAATCAGACCTTTGCCTGTCCTACACTTTATATAATCATTTTTGCAGAGGACTTCTCTCACCAGTAAGTTGTCAAACCTCTCCTCTTTCATATTTATATAATTTGATGCAAGCATGAGGTTTAATTCTGACATTCGTCTGACCTTGGTCAGTGGTAAAACTCTTGACAGCTTTGCTCTGAGGAAGAGGCCTTAAACTTCAGGAAAATACTTGGTCTACACAGCAAGGCTGAATTGTTTTTGGTTTTTTGTGTTTTGTTTTGTCAGCTACTGTAAAGTTGTGGAGAAGAACAGTTAATATGGGAGTGGTAAAAGTGCTGACCATTATCACTTGTTATTGTTGTGAAAGTAATGTGTAAATCTTAATTTGCATGTTCTGCATATACCTGTATACACGAACCTGCCAATCGAGTATAGATGGGGACCTGTGCATTGAGCTGTAAAGAAAATCCACACCTTTTGCACCTGTTGTAAGGAATGGTGAAATTGTGAAAACGTGAGTTAGAGAGTGGCATGGAAACCTGGCCCTAAACTCTGATGAGCAATATAAAAGGATGCTATTTTTGATTCTTATCCCAAAATCATGTAATGATTTCGATTCTTATCCCACAAGCATGTAGTGAGTATACGATACCATGTTGGTGGAACCTGGTTTGTTTTAAATTTGGAGTATATCTAGCTAGTGGATGTTTGATTGCACATCTGTGTGATTATTTTGCAGGGCAATTCTAATCTTATTGCAGGACTTGTGGACTGTCATTTGAGCAGCAAGAGTGAAGTGTTTGTGATCCTAAATGACGAATAGCAGTGACCAACATCTTTTGACCCCTTTGTAAATAAAGGAATAAAGTAATGTATTTTAACTATGTAATCAGAACTTACCAGACTCAGTACAGGCCTGTCCCATCTTCCTTGGTCTAGACTCTGAACCTGCTCTGAGAGGAGAAGGTATTCCTCTGCATGTCAAACCTCATTCTAAAAGTACTATACTGTCTACCTGAAATTGCTGTTCCTAGTTGGAAAGCACGTTTGCGAACAGCCTAGCTATTCCTGTTGAAATGAGAGCTTCCATACGCGGCTAACAGCTCCCATTTTCCCAGAGTTCTGGTCTTGTCAGCACTTGCATGACCACAGGGAAGCAATGTATTCAGTTATCTATACCAGAACTTTGACTGTATGTAGAGATGCCGGGAATGGAGTTAGAGTATTTGCAGGTTTCTGACAAACTCTTAAGCTAAAGTTAAAGCCGTTGCAATATAATATTACAATGTTACCACAAATACGATGTGTAGCTGTAGTCTGCTTTACAGGATATGGTATATGCATTAATCATTTGGGCTTCATGCATATTTTAAGCTGTCATGAAGTATGCAGGAAGTTACTTCAGTCTGAAGCTGGTTTTGGTCCATTGGCACAGCTGAAGGAATGAAGGGTGAGGTGATAACATTTCCTTTCATAATTCTTCTCATTTTCTATGCTCAAAGGTTTGCTCTTGGTATTTTTTCTCCTATGACATGTCAGCTTTCATTTATAAGATTTATAAAGCTTTAAAAAAACCCAAAAAACTTCAGGGTTCTCCTACATATTTTTCTGAAATGGGTGTCCTCAGCCTTTGGAGTGACAGAAAATGGGATGAGAGTGCTAAATTTGGCTTGATGTTTGTTAATTGAAAACATAGGTATTTCATTTCAAAGACTCTAACCAAATAAAACATGATAACAATCTTTTGCTGTGATCACACCTAAACATTCTGGGTAATGAGCACAGAGGTATTTGGGATAGAAAGATTGCTGAAATTAGAAGAGAAAATACCAGCGGTAAAAACATTTTAAGGAGAACATTTATGCAACCTAGAATAATACATGACAGTTTAACTCTGACACAAATATGTGGGGTATAAGTGCCTCTATATAAAATAATGTGCTTTCAGCATTTGCAATCTAAGTGGTGTTTTTTATTCTAAGCAATTTACTGTCAACCTTCTATTTTAAGAAGTCCTTTGTTTTACTCTGGGCTTTGACTTCTGTGTGAAAGGAAAGTATCAGAAGGCTTTCATACGTGCTTTTCGCTTCCTGCTGAGGTTATTAATGAAGAGAGGTAAAACTGCTGAGTAGCACTATATGTACTGCTGGAGGTGTGAGGTTTCTTACAGAACAAATGCAACAGCACCTCTCCTTGAGCAAAGGTGTTTGTAGGCTAAATGGAGACTCAGCTTAAATTTTGAACAGTTTCTGCTATAAATGTGCTTCTTATAAGGAAAATAAAATCAGAAAATACTGCGCTGAGTAAAAGAGCGAACTGCTGCATGACGTCAGAGAGAAAAAACTTATAATAATGGTACTGAGTTAACTGATATTGTCTCTGATAGCTCACATCCTGCTGGCCAAATAGTGAAATGATGTCATGTTTCAATGTAGATTTGCTTACGTGTTATGTTTCTTAAAGTTGAACTGGAAATAATTTGCCTGTCGTTAAGAGCAGTGTACAATACTTTGTGTGTGACTTGAGCTTTCCTGATGGCACCCACCACTGTGCATCTCCCATTGGGAGCCTGCTACAGCGTTACTTACTCTTGAGAGTAACCTGTTGTTTAAACAAAGGCTACAGGATTGACAGAATTTTTTGCTTGCCAGTATGAAGTAATCTGCTATTTATTTCAGAAGTTTATTATTTTAAGTGTAGAGCAGTGAAACTTTATGTCAGAGTCTTTCAATTGAATTCCATAGGTTTTATGACAAACTTGTAAATTAGTTTTAGCTGTTACAACACTGTAAGAGAACTGGGGCATGATATGTGAATATGTATGTGACTAGAGCGTGCTGCATTTATTACCAAACTCATTTTTTGTGGAGTAATTTATCAAGCTGAAAATGTGGCTTTTAATGTCAAAACAAGGAACCTACTAGAAACTCATGTTGTAGGGCTTTTGGGAGAAGTTTATGCTTATGTATCCTTAACTTCACTGACAAAACCAGTTTTGGTTTGAATGTTTTAGTATAAGGTGGATCATCCTTCCAGCAAAACTACTGATAGGTTAATGGGAAGACTGATGACTCTCCTTATAAAGAAACTTGCCTAGTTTCAAACAGTTATATGGA